CTGTCGGCAGGCTTTATGGGTACACTTATAAATCTACAATTAGAAAGTAAATCACATCTATAATCATAAAAAAGTGGAGTTCCATTTTACTTATTTAGGGTAATTAGCTAAAAGTTTTTTTGTCTGAGTCTATTTGCAAGTATAATAATTAATTTATATACTATGTAATTTTAATTACCCACTACTTTAGGCGAAAGGTGATTCAGTGTACATTCGTCACTAAAAAAAATTATGTGGTGTACATATGTTAAATATTAGTAACTATTATGAGTGTATATTTTGTTTGCACACTTTTAACATAACTAAAAAGACAATTCACATTTCCTTTGCTAAATTCATGGCTCCGCTAATGAGTATCAAGATAAATGCTTGTTATAAATTATTTCATTTGTTCCTAATTATTTGCCTAATTTTATTTTTTTTACTCGTCTCTTTTTACTTGTCCATTTTAACAAATCTAGAAAGGGCAATTTTTTTGTATCTATTATACCTTCAATTAATTAATTTTGAAAAAGATAGAACTTCTTGAATTCTTGAAAATCTTAAAATTTTAAATTATCCACTTCATCATTAATAGGGATAAAATGGTAAATTCATTATATCAATTATTATTTTCTTAATAAATATGTTAATTTAAAAGTGGACAAGTAATTTAAGACCAGGGGTGTACTAATAATTGTCATTATGATGTAATTTTATTACATTTTCTTTCTTCTTCAGTTGGTTAAGTCGACATTTCTTGTATTAGGGTTTTCTTTTGCACATCATTTTGTACTAACAATGTTTGTTATATTGGTCCACATATTAAACTTAAAAAATCTTAAAGGAAAAGTACAGGTTAAGCTAAAAAAGAAAAAAAAAAAAGAAAAAGAGTTGTGTATATGTGAAGATTTGCCAACGACAAGAATATGAATGAACATACCTATACCTGACTCTTGAGTAAAAAAAAAGGTAAAGTGATAATATTATAGCGATAAAAAAGAAAAAAATACCACATAGAATATAAGAGAGTAATACATTTAGCCAAGACATAAAGAAGTTAGAAAGTGCTAGTAAATGGTGTGGATGTGAAGAATTCATACAAAGTTATATTATCCTGTACAGTTTGTAATTACCAAGTAATTAGTATTGCACAAGAAAAACATATTTGAAGACTTTGCCTAGAGGAGCACTCAACAAGACCTGGGGTGGTCCTCTCATGAGTACATCCCAAGTTAAAATCCCATCCCCGATCAATGATGAATCTAAGATTTTTATTAAAAGGGAATTCAAAAAATAAATACTTATATAATATTAAAATCTGAATTTAAAACTTTAAGATAAATTTTTAATTCTTAATCACAAGTCAACCTTTAATTTTGTATTCAGAAAATTCAAAATCACACAAAAAAATAATAATTCTTTATATGTATAATTCTTAGGTTCAGATGAATTTTCATATCCTCTCTCAGATGCGTATGCGTCCCTGTCTGTGGGTCATGTTGATGACTATTTTTTTTTTTATAGATAAAAAAGATGACTACTTCACCTTAATTTGTCAAACACGTATAGCATTTGTCTAATATTATTAGAAAGGAAAATAAAACACACGAGTAGATATTGTTAATGTAGAAGATAAGACAAGAGATATAGCAGTATTTAATTTATACAATGATTAAATTGGACAATCTAGCTAGCCTCGTAATATTGGAGGAACAAACAGGGGCCGAGCCAGACATGGATTACGGGTGAAAAATTACACTATATATAAAATTAAACAATTTTTTTATATACATACTTTTGAACCTCTTAATTAAAATTGTGGCTCCGCCACTCAAAATAAAGTAAGCACATGGACAGGGCCAGCAGTATATAGATAGGTGCAGGTAATATGAGAAGGACAAAGTAAATCAAAAAAGGCAGAGGAGATTGAGAATGGGTCATCACTGCTGCAGTAAACAAAAAGTAAAGAGAGGTCTTTGGTCTCCAGAAGAAGATGAAAAACTCATTAAACACATCAACACCCATGGCCATTCCTGCTGGAGTTCTGTTCCTAAACTAGCTGGTACTACTTTCTTAATTCTTCATTCCCTTTATGTAATTAAAATCTCGATAACAACATTTCACTATAACAACCATGTTTTCTGTCTCATTATAGTTATGTTGTAACAGAGAGAGTTGACTGCTTCTTTTGCAGGACTACAGAGGTGTGGAAAAAGCTGCAGGCTTAGGTGGATAAATTACTTAAGGCCAGATCTGAAAAGGGGTTGTTTTAGTGAACAAGAAGAAAGGATTATAATTGATGTACACAGAATTTTGGGAAACAGATGGGCACAAATAGCGAAACATTTACCTGGTAGAACCGATAATGAAGTGAAGAATTTTTGGAATTCTTGCATAAAAAAGAAACTTATTTCTCAAGGCTTTGATCCAAACACCCACAATCTCCTTTCTACTAAGAAAAAAGCCAACAATAATTATACCACATCATCAATTTTCACTGTTGAAACTAGTTTATCGTCATCATCAACAAAAGAGTTGGTTTCAATGGACCTGATCAAAGCAAGTCTTGCAGCATTGTCAACTTTTCCTAATTACACTAATATGCCTCAGTGCCAAACAAGTTTGAGTCGGCTATATGGATCTGTTTGTGTTCCCACCACTACGAATATTATTGGAAACTCAAACTTCGCCAGTACCATTGATTACAAAAAGCAGAGTACTATTATTAATGAAAATTGTATGTGGTCTGTTACTGGATTTGAAACTCCACATCATGAATTTGGTAATGGACATGAAGAAATGAAACAAGAGGGACAAGTTCAGGTTGAGGAAAAGAATTGTCAAGAGGAAGTACTCTATAAGGTTAATGATCTTCATGAGTTCAACAATGATGGACCACGAATCGCGGAGAATGTGACATTTGATGAAGGCTCTGACTTTGATTTTGAGTTTATGGATTCTGAATTGGTGCCGTGTGGAATTTTCACTAACTTAAATTCTATAGATCAACTTGCATGGAATTGTTAATTGAAGTAGTTGTTAAAAAATTTTTTAAAAAAGATTTCAGTACCATACAAATGTTGCATGTTATTTATTTGATTTCTGTTGCATTATCATGTTGGTTCAGCAGAATTTTTAAAGAGAAAATGGTAGTTGTCATATTTTGGTTCTTTTTTTTTTTTTTAATGTGTACATATAATATGAGCTATTTTAAAGGGAGAAAGAATGAGTAATTGAAAAAATAGTCTAACTTGCAAAAGTGAAATAACTTATAATTTGTGTATGATTTATCTCTCCCTTTCAAGTGTGATATTCAATAGAATGCTCCTTATACAAGGCATTGACTTAGTCTAGCTCATCATATTATGCTGGAAATGTTTTTGTAATATTTACCTAGGGATAGTTTTTTATCTAAATTTTATTTCCGTATTAAAAAGCGGCTAAGTTTGAATGATTTTGAAATGCTGGCTAAGTTTCAATTAGCAGTTTGAAAGTTTGTTATTTGTCAATTTCACGCATTGAAGTTTGCATATGAAAAAGAAAAATTACTTAAAAAGTTTTTATAGTTACAAAAATATTATGCCCCGTTTAAGAATATAAGTTTTATAATCCATAAATATTATCACATGTTTAAAATTATAAATATAAAAAGTTTTCATTTCTTTCTTAAATCCTTGCTGAGTTTATTAGTATATCGCACACATTAAAAATGGATGAGGTAACTCTCAATTGTGGCCTTGGCAATATGGAGTATATAAAATGTATGAATCCAAGTTTGGGCTCAATTCATTCACCGTAGACAACACCACCATACTAAAATCTCAACTCCAACACAACACTAACTTTGTGGTACAATATTTTTAGGCTTTCAGCAATTAGGCCCAAACATCAGTTACGCTGTTTTTGTCAAATATACTTCATCTCTCTAATAATAGTTGTCCACTATTGACTTGACACACTCCTTAATAAATAATAAATAATAAATAATAGGGGTAATACTACCTCTGTTCCTAATTACTTGTCCACTTTTAAATTGACACACCAATTAAGAAAACAATTATTGACATAGTGAGTTTATCATTTTACCCCTATTAATTATGAAGTGAATATATTAAAAACTTAAGATTTTCAAGAAGTTCTACCTTTTTAAAGTAATTAATTAAGGGTTTGTCCTTTCTTGATTTGTTAAAATGGACAAGTAATTATGAACAACTAAAAAAGGAAAAGTAGACAAATAACTAGGGACAAAAGGAGTATCACTATATTATCCTTTGATTTTATTAAATTTAATATTTTGAAAAATGTGTTAGATGATAAATAATATTTAATATTAAGGGTAAAATAGACACAAAAGAGAAAATTATCTCTTGATTTTCTAAATCGGACAAGTATTATTGAACAACTATTTTTAGTATAATGAACAAGTATTGTTGTTGGACGGAGGGAGGGAGTATATAGAAAACCTAAAAATTTATGGCTTTAGTTCTATCTAGAAAAGATCATTGTTCTCCTCCTTTCATGTCACTCTTTTCGTCATTTTTTAGTTGTCTAATTTTGACATTTTAGTTATCCTATTTTACTTGTCATTTTTATAAATGAAGAAAAAACAGTAATATTTTTTATTTATTATATCATCAATTTATTTAAAGAATTAATGTTTTAAAAAGAGATAGAACCTCTTTAATGAGTAAATTAATTTTAGAACTCTATCAATTAATAGAGCTAAAATAGTAAACTCACTATATCAATTATTATTTTTTTAATATGTGTGTCTAAGTTAAAATTGGAGGTAACTACTTTTTTCTGTTTCTCTGTTTTTTTTTTCTCATTGACATGTCTGCTTTAACTTGTTCTCCATTGATTTTTTCTTTGTTGGACATGGTGTTCTTAATGTATGTAATAGAGAACATTCGAAGTTCAAAATTATCCATTTTTGATGGGACGATTGGACAATCTTAGACCCCTAGTGAGGGTGTAAGCATTTGATTTTACAATACAGTCACTCTTCCATTAATACATTTAGCTAAATACAAACCATACAAAATACATTATTTTGAGACAAACCAAACTTAGAAAACTACAAGGTTTACATCTTAGATTCTTCTTTTTCTTATGGTAGTGTTAATTGATTGAGCATGAATCGTACACATGGCTTTTCATCGATCGGAGCGGATAACCGGTGCAGCGACCTTAAAATTCTTAACAGCAAAATCAAAGCGGAACCTAAACTCACTAGGGCTATATATTGCTTTTGAGTTTTTATTAACAGTGGTCATGTTGACAGCAAAATCAACCGGATGAAACACAAGTTTAGACGCTTTATCTTTAGCTTTAACTACTGTCCCTGCTGCTTCCTTTGCAATATCACCAATGTTAGCAAATCTGTTAGCCCAATTCGGTAGTTTTGGGACGCCTAATTTCTCAAGGAACTCGTCACAGAAATGCTTTGAGTTCCTAGAGACCATATTGTATTTGTTACCAGGCCACGCATCGCGAAGATCTTTTAAGATCTGATTGACTTTGTGGGCAGAGCACTCTGTTCTGCCCAATACAATCTTTTCGCGATGCGTGTAATTGGGGTTTTTGGTAGCGGGGCAACTGAAAACCCCGCTGCCTTTCTCACAAGACCCGTAGGCCCATTCAACGTTGTCGTAAACTTGGACTGCAATGTGGAAGATGCCGCCGAAATAGATGGTGTCTTTGAGTAGCCTGTTCATTTGGACTACACCGAAATTGACTGCGTCGTACCCGTCACTTTTGGTCATGTCGTAAACATGGAGGATCACTTCTGCCATGGAGGATCTCAAAAACTCTGTTTTGTTTTTAATCTGTTGGTGAATGCAATAAAATGAATGAGGTTTTTGGGCTATTTATAAAAGGGGCTTCTTGCCATTTGCTTAATTTGCAGGCTTTGAAGACAAATTCTTTGAGTTGTGGAATTTGGGGCCTCAAGAATTGGGTTCCCACTTCCCATGTGTGAGATTTATCGATGGAATCAAATATAGAGTATTCGATTATAGAGATAAAATCAAGATATTTATGATGTCAAATCGAAATTAGATCAAATTAAATTATTTGTAGGTATCAAGATAATAGCAATGAATAATTATAGAATTTTGAATTTTCTAACATGTTAGTTAAATAAGTCCATGTGTGACTTGCATTGATCCCGAATGCAATGGAATATGAAATTGACAAAGACGCTTGAGAAGGAAGATAAACAGAGGGTAAATATGTGGATAACTATCGAATAAATAGGGGCCATGTGTTTTATTTTCAATGGATATAATACTTAGCTTTTTTATTTTAAAAAAGCAAGATTCTTATAATTTGTTGGTTGTGTGAGAAAAGAATAATCCTCTAATGAAATCTTGAAGTATTTAAGAGGATTTATTTCTAATCCCTTTTCTTATTATATAAGAGCTTCTTGGATGCTCAGTTGTACCATATTAACGCTAGAATCATATTAATAGAGTACATTCCAAGTTTTAATCCCACCCCACCACAAGAAAAGAAAAAGTTACAAAGGATAAGATAACGGGATCAATTTGAAAGATTTAGTAACAATAAAATTTTCTATATAATCACTAGCCTTTAACGAGATCTATATAGAGTGTTCATTATAAATATCAATATTATATTATTATCGATAAATATAATATAAAAATAATTATATTATTGCAGCTAAATAATAACCAAAAAATCCTTTATTTATTGTTGTGACAAATCAAGTCTCCTAAGCAATTTTATCTTTCAACTTATATTTTGCATCGTCTCCTATTGATTGCTATATTTTATTCTTAGGAAATTAGTCAAGTAAAGAACTCAGCATCACCTTTTGGAAGGGAAAGCAATTCCTGTTTTCTTTTTAAATGTTGTTTTTTATTTGATGCACCCGGAAGAAAGAATAAATAAAATGGTAATTTAATTAGGAAAAAAAATTTTGACCAGAAAATTTGGTCAGAATGATAAAATAATATATTTTCACACTATGTTATTTTATCTTTTTGAACATTTTTACCCTTTTACCTTTAATACCTTTTAATTAAAAATGGAAAAAAAATCAGTTTATTTTAAAATAAAAAGAATATTATAAATTTTTTAAATTTCTGGCCAAAATTTTCTGGTCATTTAGCATTACCCATTTAATTATATCATTCTTATTAATTATAAGTCATTTAAATAATGGGGAATGAATAATATTTAATAACAAAGAGAAAATATACACAATAATAAATTATCTCTTGATCTTTTAAATTAAATAAATAACTTAAAATTAAATAACTATTTTTAATATATTGGATAAATAAAGAATATTGGGAAATGAATAATATTTAGTAACAAAGAGAAAATAGACACAAAATAATAAATTATCTCTTGATCTTTTAAAATTAAATAAATAACTATTTTTAATATAGTAAATAAATAAAGATGAAGAGAGAAAATAGAAAACAGACATTTATAATACACAACCTTATCACTCAAAAAAAGAGAGAAAGAGAAAAAGTTTCCCAAGTGTATGGAGCACAGTATAAAAGGAATAGAACAAAAAGAAGACTTCAGTATCAATACTGAAAATGTATGAAGTTTATCTGCACAAGTAATTGATAGGGTTGCTATTATTAACTTTCGCATTATGACTTTTAGATTTTCAATACCAACAGTAATACATGTCTTAACTTTAGATTTTCAATACCAACAGTAATACATGTCTTAACTTCTGAATTTAGGTTGGTTTCGAAATGACTTAATTAAATCAATGAGTATCGATTATGGTAATTAATATTCTATAACAAGTTAAATTGCATTGGTAGCGTAAAGAAATGTCAATATACATGACTTAAACTTTGATGGAGGGAAAATTAAAATGTAATTGTCTTTATTCTTTAGAGGCGAAGTCAGAGTTAGGAGTTTGTAGGGTTCTAAATTTTGGGACAACAGAGAAAAATATTGCAAAATTTGCAATTATACTTATACCTTAGCACGAGACTCATATCTATGACTTGTCTTGCTCACCGCCTCGACACATTTCCCTAGATCGTCCCACACAGAAAGAAAGAATACATAGCCCCGGCCCGGCCTGTAGGTCCTAAGGTAAAGTAATATTCTATAACAAGTTAAATTGCATTGGTAGCGTAAAGAAATGTCACTATACATGACTTAAACTTTGATGGAGGGAAAATCAAAATGTAATTGTCTTTATTCTTTAGAGGCGAAGTTAAAGTTAGGAGTTTGTAGGGTTCTAAATTTTGGGATAACAGAGAAAAATATTGCTTTGCAAGTATACTTATACCTTAGCATGAGACTCATATCTATGACTTGTCTTGCTCACCGCCTCGACACATTTCCCTAGATCGTCCCACACGGAAAGAAAGAATACATAGCCCCGGCCCAACCTGTAGGACTTATGGTAAGTAATATTCTATAACAAGTTAAATTGCACCGATGGCATAAAGAAATGTCACTACACAAGTAACTTGAACTCTAAAAGGAAACATGCATCAATCTTCTGAGGGAAGTTGCACTTATTAAATTTGATCTGTCTATATATATAGCCTATAGGTAGATAATATGATCAGCTAGCCTATAAGCAAATCATCATACTTTTCTTCAATTCATGTGCATTCTAAAACTTCTTCATTCCTCCATTTACAATGGACGTAGAAGACAATTCTCAGTACAGTACTCGTCACGAAATTACATCTCATGATCCACATTGGTCGTATGACGTTTTCTTGAGTTTTAGAGGTGAGGATACTCGAAAGAGCTTTGTTGATCACCTCTATACTAGTTTACACGAAAAAGGAATACACACATTTCGTGATGATAAAGAGTTAAGTAGAGGAAAATCAATTTCCCCTGAACTCCTTAACGCTATAGAAAAATCGAGGTTTGCAGTAGTTATTTTTTCGAAAAACTATGCAGATTCATCGTGGTGTTTGGAGGAGCTGACGAAGATCGTTGAGTGCAACAAGCAGAGGGGACAAACGCTGATTCCAGTGTTTTATAGTGTGGATCCTTCTGTTGTGAGAAAACAGAAGGAGAGTTATGGAGAAGCTTTCGCTAAACATGAAGAGAATTTGAAGGGATCAGATGAGAGGAATAAGATCCAAAGATGGAGGGATGCTTTAAAGGATGCTGCTAACATCTCTGGGTTTGACGTCCAACACATGGAAGACGGGTAACTCATCCCACATATTCTATCTTATGCATGCTCTCATTTATTATTAAGAAAAATATATACTCCTAAGTTAGAAAAGAATATTCATAGCAACTTTGCTGCTCACAATTCAATTAATTAATTAATTAATTGTAGGGATAAACTACCTAGCTAGTAACTAATTTTATCTCATGAAACAACTATTTTTAATATGAGATAGAGGGAGTATTCGCTAACACACAATATAAATATTCTATGCAGAAAACTTTTAGAATCATAATTCCCAATATAGTTAGTTTCACTAGTGAGATATGAGAAACATAGGAAGTATACAAATTTTATTTCTTTGTATGGTAGAGACTGTTAATCTCATTTACACTCTCACCTTGTGTTATATACTCTCTCTATTCTACGATAGTTGTTTACTTTATGAAATTAATTGATAATTTTATATTTAGTTTCTAATTTACCGTTATTATTAATAGTCATTTTCCTATTACATTTTCAAGATATTGCATCTATTTATATTCAAAGGGTGAAATAGTAAAATTATTCTTTTATTTATAGTTTTTTAAGAAGTATGTTAAGTTAATAGTGGATAACTATTACTCACTCTGTTTCAAAAAGAGTGACATAGTTTGACTTGACATGGAGTTTTAGAAAATAAAGAAATTTTTTGATTCTTGTGGTCCTAAATTAAAGTTATGTCAAATGTACTAAATTACCCTTTAAACATGTCACGTGGAAAACTGAAATTAAAATGTTACCAAAAAATGAAAGAGATCATTCTTTTTGAAACAGATTAAAAAGAAAAGAAGGTCATTCTTTTTAAAACGGAGGGAGTATTAAACTTGAACAGAGAGAGTATTCTCATCTCTCAACTACATATAAATTAAATAAAAGAAAATACTAATATATATTTTTCAAATATCTTACGTCTAAAAATGAAAATTTCTTTAAAAAAAGTTATAAATTTCTTTTTAGAAATATACAAGTGACCCACAAAATCAATTTTTTGGTATAAAAAGTATGTTATTTGTGTCTTAGTTTATGTAAATACTTTTTATTTTTTATAATTTAAATTATAGAAATATTTTGTTTGATATTTTAAAATATTAGTAATTTAATTTAATTTTAAAAATTAATCAAATTGAAATCTATCTAACAAAAACAATCCCTCGATTTGTGCTCTGGAGAAAATTCCAAAAAAAAAAAGAAAAAAGAAAAAAGAAAAAAACAACCCCCTTCTTCTTCTATTCTCCACCACCGAATAACCTCCGGCAACTGCAAAATACATGCTCTTTCTGTTACAATCGACGAATTGATGAAGCTCCAAAACTCGACCATCATGGAAACTAAACCAGGCTTTTCGCCTCTGGAATCATCACATTCACACTTCAATATGACTTGTTGGAATTGGGGGTGAAGATGTTTGTTTTTGGTGGCGGCGGAAGATAGAGGATGACTAAAACTACTCTTCTAGTTCTTGACAAATAATGAATAAAATATTGTAGGTCTTTTTTGGGTCCCTTTTCACGCCAAAATTGGATTCAGTTTTGTTTGTTATGTCATATGTGTAAATGACTTTCGATACACCTGGTCCTTTGATGTGTATTGTACATCCTTCCAGTCGGAAAATGTTAGTTTCTATAATCAAAAAGCCAAATGTAGTGGTGGAGGGGGACGGTGTAGTGGCTATGGTGGTGATGGCAGAGAGAGGATGAAGAAAAAAAATTGTACTCTGCAATGCCAGTAGTGTGCGTCCAATAGGTATATAGTGTTCGATAGGTCAGATTCAAAAATAGCTCAAATTTATGGAGTTGATTATAAAAGAAAACATTAGTATCAAACCCAGACATTTGGAAAATATTTGAATTTAAGGGAAATCGAAATGCAGCATGCACCAGTTATAACATTTTGGATTTGCAAATCTGATAGTACTATTTCTTTATCTTTCTTTTAGGCATGAATCAAGGTGCATTAGACAGATTGCTTTGACAATTTTAAAAAGATTGGGGCGTGTACGACCTAAAGTTGCAGATCATTTAGTGGGCATAGAGTCCCATGTACAAAATGTTATATCTATGATGAATTTGCATTCTGAAGCTGATGTTCGCATAATTGGGATATGGGGTATGGGAGGCATTGGCAAATCAACTATTGCGCGAGCTGTATTTGATCAACTTCAGGAAGAGTTCGAAGGTAGTTGCTTTCTTGATAATGTTAGAGAAGTTTCAACAAAATCCGGACTTCAGCCTTTGTCGGAAAAAATGATTTCTGATACATTGAAAGAGAGTAAAGACAATCTTTACACCAGCACCACTTTGCTGATGAACAGGTTGAGCTATAAAAGAGTGATGGTCGTTCTTGACGATGTGGATAATGATGAGCAGATAGACTATTTGGCTGGAAAGCATGAATGGTTCGGAGCTGGGAGCAGAATCATCATCACCACTAGAAACAGGCAATTGTTATTGTCTCATGGGGTGGATCATGTGTATGAAGTTAGTCCTTTAGGGATTAATGAGGCTTTGATGCTCTTCAACAAGTTTGCATTCAAAGGACGTGAGCCGGAAGGTGATTTTTCTGAACTGGCGCTGCAAGTCGCGCAATGTGCTTGGGGCCTTCCACTGGCTCTCAAAGTATTGGGTTCATTTCTACATAAAAGATCAAAAGCAGAATGGAAGAGCGAGTTGAAGAGGCTGAAAGAAATTCCCCATGATGATGTGATAGGGAAACTTAAATTGAGCATTGATGCATTGAATGATCTAGACAAGCAAATATTGCTCGACATTGCTTGTTTCTTCAAGGCGAAACGAAGAGAACCTGTCACCAGAAAACTCCTTGCTTTCGGTTTCAAACCTGAAATTGGAGTACCAGTACTTATTCAAAGATCACTTTTATCCATATCTGATGATGACAGGTTCCAGATGCATGATTTAGTTCAAGAAACCGCTTGGTACATGGTTCGCCATGGACATCCTAGAGAGAAATTCAGCAGGTTGTGGGTTCCTGACGACATATGCGATGTTATGTCAAAGAAATCAGTAAGTTTACACTACATGGTTGATATATTGAACAACAACTAGAGAGTTGTTGACGTAAAAATAAAAATTACTAGTAACTTTTCTTATTAAATGTGTAGGGTACCGGAGCAATTGAGGGAATAATATTGGCGTACTCTGAAAAGCAGAAGATGAACTTAGGATCACAAGCATTAAAGGGTATGGAAAATCTACGTCTTCTGAAAATCCAGAATGCTTACTTCCGTAAAGGTCCGAGTCATCTTCCAAATGAGTTACAATGGCTCAGTTGGCACAATTTCCCTTCAACCTCACTTCCACAAGACTTTGCGGGAGAAAAGCTAGTTGGACTTAAACTAATTCATGGCCAAATTTTGCAACTTTTGCCAGAAGATAAGGTACCATTGCCCTCATAAATATTGTTCGTACATATTTTTTCTTTGTCCGAGTGACCACTATTGTAAAATAATTTACAAACAGATATCTACCTTACATTGAGTGTTCATTTTTCTCTTGCAATTAGGCAAAATAAGTCACTTATTATATGTTTCATGATTTAAACAGTATCTTGACAAGCTGAAGTATTTGAACCTCAGCTACTCCAAAGGGTTAATTAACACTCCCAACTTTAGCCAAATGCCATATCTTGAAAAGTTGAACCTGAGCAACTGTACGAACTTGATAGGAGTTCACAGATCACTTGGAGATCTTACAAGGCTTCAGTACTTGAATTTGTCTCACTGCTCAAAGCTAAAGAGTATTTCGAATAACATCCATCTCGAATCTTTGGAAAAGCTTCTTCTGTGGGACTGCACAAAACTCGAAAGTTTCCCTCAAATCATAGGATTAATGCCAAAGCTTTCAGAACTTCACTTGGAAGGGACTGCAATCAAAGAGCTACCCGAGTCCATCATAAATCTCGGTGGGATTGTGTCCATAAACCTCAGGAATTGCAAGGATCTGGAATGTATAACTTATAGCATTTGTGGTTTGAGATGTCTCAGGACTCTAAATCTCTCTGGCTGTTCAAAACTTGAGACATTGCCAGAAACCCTTGGACAAGTGGAAACTTTAGAAGAACTACTTGTAGATGGAACTGCAATTAGCAAGCTACCATCAACCATCTCGGAGATGGAAAACTTGAAAATCCTTTCTTTCAGTGGATGCAAGAAAAGGAAAAAAGATAAGGCATTCTGGAAAAACAGTTTTAGCTTTCGCTTGAATCTAAAGTTAACTTCACTGCCAAATGTCAGGCGCATCACAAGACGATTAAATACTGGAAGAAATAAGAAGCCAGAAATATCAGGACCATCATTATCTGGTTTGTGTGCCTTAAAGAAACTAGATCTTAGTGACTCTGATTTGGTAGATGAAATCGCTGGTGATGTTTGGCAGCTGTCCTCATTGGAAGAGTTAAATTTGAGCCGAAATAATTTTAATGAATTTCCATCAAGAATATATGGGTTACAGCAATTCAAGGTCCTGAAAGTTGATGAATGCAAAAGCCTTGAAGCCTTGCCTGATCTTCCCTGGAGTATTGTAATGATAGAGGCAAATGAGTGCCTTTCCTTGCAGAGTCTTGGAAATCTTTCACCGCAACATGCATTCTTGAAAAAGGTCTCGTTTTTCAAATGTTTCAAATTGTACCAACAAAGCCAAAAAACCAGTATTAGCGCTGCGGATTTGTTGCTTCATTTGCTTCTCCAGGTAATGTCTCCATTTCATGAATTTATAAAATTATTATGTTTCCAAAATAAAGTATCAAGAGATCAAATTTGTTAATTGTACAACAGGGTCACTCCACCTTTTATAGTCAATTTAGTATACTGATTGCTGGAGGAAAAATCCCCGAGTGGTTTGGTTATCAAAAAATGGGTCGATCAATCTCAGTCCAGCTACCTACAGATTGGCAAGACAACATTGCAGGGGTTGCATTCTCATTTGTTTTCGAATGCCTTGTTCCAAAATCAAAACTAGGTGTTACTTTCAAGTTGATAAGTCCAAACCACCGAGAATACACATTTGAAAGTGCTCCAGCATCTGCTGCTTCAAAGATGGGGGAGGAGTACAAATGTGATCACTTGTGGATAGCTTATATCTCTTTCCATCTTTTTCGTCTCCTCTTCCCCGAGTTCACAACTGAAGATTGGACTAAGGTTTGTTGTTGCCTGTCAATTAGCCTAAGACAAGAGCCATGGAACAAAGTGAGGAGGTGTGGGATTCATTTAGTGTACAAAAAAGACTTGACTACATCATTGGCAGCTGGGAGCAAAGAATTGACGGTGTATGACGAGGGAGGAGATTCAAAAAGGAAAGAAGAGGTGAAAGAGGATATCGTGGCACTGATGGCTGGGGTTAACGTTTTGAATTGGGACGTTGACTCCATTGAGCAAGATAACACTCAGCTTGCGAATTTGAGGAAATCACTTGCCTATAAGATTCAGAAGACACTTTCTTTTGATTGCTAGAGTAGTGTTCTCTAGCTACTACATAGTACTAATGTTTGCTTATATCTTCAATTGAACAGTTGCTTGATGTTTCTGCTCGTCGATGGCACGTTTCTTGGTTTGCTTGTTTGTGCTTTACTTCCATGCATTGGATTGAGTAATACCCTACTACTTACTACCAATGGAAATTAGAAATAATGGTTGGCTTTGATTTTGTTGAATTGTTTGGTTTCTTGTGCACTGTGAAACGAACCGTGTAATGTGTAAATGTAATGCTTGTTTTTCTTTTGTTAAGAATAATGTATGTTCTGTTTTAAGTGTAAATGTGGTTTTTCACTCATTAAATTCAATTTGCTCATCTTATTAATTCAATTCGTTTAGGTATTTGTTACGTACTTCATTGTGTTATTTTATTCACTCAATCAAAGCGAGTTAGAGTACGCAAACCGTTCATAATTTTTGGAATTCTTGCATAAACAAGAAACTTTTTTTTTTTAAACCTTTGCCGAGTTTCCTATATCGCACAAATTAAAATGGATGGGGTAACTCTGAATCTCAATTGTGTCCTTAGCAATATGGACTATAAATCCAAATTTTGTGCTCAAATAATTACCTGTAGACAACACAGCCATACAAAAATCCCAACTCCAACACAACACTGATTTCGTGGTACAAACTTTCTAGGCTTTCAACAATTAGATTCAGGCCCCAACATCCGTTACATTGTTTTAATCAAATATATATAGAGAACTTCACATTTATGCCTCTTTTTTTCCTCTAGCAAAGATCATCAAGATTTAATTTTTCTTTGTTGGACTTGTTGTTCTCAATGTCTGTTACAGAACACATTCTAACTTCAGAAAGTGAATCTATGGAACAATCTCATAGTCACATAAAATAGACAGTCATTAACTCTAGAAAATTGTGAAAAATCCATTTTCAATGGGATGATCACATAACCTTAGACCTCTAGTCAAAAATTTATATTATTGTTACGGATATAATCAATTTCATAATATAGAGGGTGCAAGTATTTGATTATAAAATACAAAGCACTCTTCTATTTATACAAACAAAGTAGACAAAGTTACATTTATCTAAATATAAACCATACAGAGTAGGTACATTATTTTGAGACAAACCAAACTTAAGAAAACTACGAGGTTTACATCTTAAATTCTTCTTTTTCTTATGGTAGTGTCAATTTATTGAGCATGTACGTGCATATGGCTTGTCATCGATCGGAGCGGATAACCGGTGCAGCGACCTTGAAATTCTTAACAGCAAAATTTAAGCTGAACCCAAACTCACTTGGGCTATATATTGCTTTAGACTTTTTACTAGCAGTAGTCATGTTGAAAGCAAAATCAACCGGATGAAACACAAGTTTAGACGCTTTGTCTTTAGCTTTAACTACTATCCCTGCTGCTTCCTTTGCATATCACCAATGTTAGCAAATCTGTTAGCCCAATTCGGTAGTTTTGGGACCCCTAATTTCTCAAGGAACTCATCGCAGAAATGCTTTGAGTTCCTTGAGACCATATTGTATTTGTTACCAGGCCATGCATCGCGAAGATCTTTTAAGATCTGATTGACTTTGTGGGCAGAGCACTCTGTTCTGCCCAATACAATCTTTTCGCGATGCGTGTAATTGGGATTTTTGGTAGCGGGGCAACTGAAAACCCCGCTGCCTTTCTCACAAGACCCGTAGGCCCATTTAACGTTGTCGTAAACTTGGACGGCAGTGTGGAAGATGCCGCCGAAATAGATGGTGTCTTTGAGTAGCCTGTTCATTTGGACTACACCGAAATTGACTGCGTCGTGCCCGTCACTTTTGGTTATGTCGTAAACATGGAGGATCACTTCTGCCATGGAGGATCTCAAAAACTCTGTTTTGTTGGTGAATGCAATAGAATGAATGAGGTTTTTGGGGCTATTTATAAAAGGGGCTGCTTGCCATTTGCTTAATTTGCAGGTTTTGAAGAAAAATTCTTTGAGTTGTGGAATTTGGGGCCTCAAGAATTCGGTTCCCACTTCCTATGTGTGAGATTTATTGATGGAATCAAATATTTTGTATTTGATTATAGAGATAAAATTAAGATATTTATAATGTCAAATTGGGATAAGATCAAATTATTTTTAGGTGTCAAGGTAATGCAATGAATAAATATAGACTTTTGAATTTTCTAGCATGTTAGTTAAATAAGATGAAATTTTAGTGTTATATCATACTATTATGAATGGTATTCTATGTTTTCTTTTTATTGGGGTTAGCATCAAAGAGGAAAGATATGAAAATTGGAAAATATATAGGCTTAGAAAAAACTATTTTGAATTAGTATGAGATTTTTCTTATATATAATTTCGTGGAGAAGTTATTCTAGTCATAATATATTATTCACGTTTTAATTAGCATTAAATTCACATGAAAGTTCGGGGCGACAAATGATGACCATATAAGTTATTTCATAATCATCCACTTATATAACTTAATATGCAGCACATTGGGATCTTTGGGAGACAAATGATCACCCTATAAAAAAAATTTTAATTAAATAAATTTCAAATTCAGTAAATCAAATCAATGACAGTAGCTAATACTTCAATCTTGCGTACATAATATTTAAATTTAAAATCGGCCAAGTCCATGTGTGACTTGAATTGATCTCGAAGGCAATGGAATATGAAATTGGATAAAAAGAGGGAAGATATGTGGATAGCTATGGAATAATGAGGGGCCATGTGGTCTATTTTCAATGAATATAATTCTAAGTTTTTTTTATTTTCAAAAAGCAAGATTCTTATAATTGGTTGGTTGGTTGGTTGTGTTAGAAAAGAATAATCCTCAAATGAATTTTTGAAGGATTTAAGAGATTTTCTAATAAGAAATTTTTATAATTGACATGTATAAGACTAATTATTACTCCAATTAGTTACGATCTTAGTTTTTATGTTTCAAATTTTAATATTAAACAATTACGAGTTATAATATTTGTTAAATAAAAAAAAATGGAATTTAAATTAACAAACAAATTAATAATAGTAATGATAATTAATAATAGGCATAAAATCAAGATAGCTTAAAAAATATATATTTGTTTTTCTTGTTTAGCTCAAAATAATTAGTGGTCTTTTCTCTCATATGTTAATTGTCTATCAAGACAAATATTATTATTTTTACTCAATATTTTTCAATTTTTATTTTCAACAACTTTTAAAGGTATATTGTTTGAATATAAATTCGGTATACTTATTAAGTCATTATATTCAATTTGCTTATCTTATTATTTCCATTTGATTACGTATTTGTTACTTCATTGTGTTATTTTATTCACTCAATCAAAGCGAGTTATAATAAGCAAACCGTTTACGAAATATATACTTTTATCGCGTCTCTAGTCACTCATCACTACATACATGTGAAATCTCATCCGACATATGCTTTTCATGAGAATAAAATAATACAAAATGTGTCAATATTTAAGTTTAAAGTAACTTTCACTGGATCATAAATACAATGGGCAACACGTAAAGATATTTAAGTGATAATTTCTTAAATGGTTATTAATTATTATTATTTTCTCAGAAATTTATTTAATTTTGATTTTCAACTCAAAGATCACTCAATTATGAATTTTTTTCTCAAAAAGTCACTCAATTTTGTTTTTAAACTCAAAACTCACACAACTATAAGTGTTTTTCTTACAAAGTCACTCAAATATGAATATTTCAAATGGTCACTCAACTATTAATATTTTTCTCAGAAAGTCACTTAATTTTGATTTTCAACTCAAAGGTCACTTAACTATGAATTTTTTTGTCTCAAAAAGTCACTCAATTTTATTTTTTAACTCAAAACTCAAACAACTATAAGTGTTTTTCTTACAAAATCACTCAACTATAAATATTTTATTTTAAAGTCACTTGACCTATTTAATTGATTTTAAGAAAAAATAAAATTCATTGACATTAAATTTTTATTTCTAACAAAAATTTATTCGCTTAAACTAGTTAATGACATTTTTATTTCTTTTATTCCGCTAAAAAAAGAGTTATATCATATTTTAAATTTTTTTTACCCTATTAAAATCAGGTTCACTATTTTATCCTTTCTATTCATATATTTTTTTTTATTAATAATTATTTGATATGGTATGTTTTCTGTTAATTTTCGATCAAATAATGAACTTTGGATAGCTTATTTTTTTTAGCAACTGCATGTATATTTTTGAGGTGAGTTTTCTCTGAATTCTGTGAAAATGTAATAATTTGAGGTGGGTCATGAAACTTTTTTCTTTTAGTAGAGTATAAGAGTAAAATAAAAGGGTCATTAAATGGTTTAAACTTTAAATGAATATTCTTTTATTTCTTAAATTTTTTTGTTACAAATAAAAATTAACGTAAACAAATTTTAATTAAAAAATAATTAAATAACTTTATGACTTTATAAGTAAAATATTCATAATTAAGTAACCTTTTGTAAGTAAGTATTTATTTCAAATAAATTTATTTTGAAGTGTATTTACACAGCCAAAATATATAAAATATTGGAGAAAGAAGTTTTTACTTGGAGAAGTGGTAATTGTAAAAAATGTGTTGGCGGTTGAATGATCCTCTTGAGAACAAGTGTCTTGCCACTTGTCTTTCTAGAAAAAAAGTCCATAGTAGAGTTACAGATTATCCAATAAATCAACTTCAAAGAAAACGCAAGTATTAAGAAATGATGTAATTTTATCTTTTTATTTTTATTTAATATTTTCTTAAATTAATTTTATAATAAATGAATACATTTTCAAAATTAATTAACTACTCTATCAAGGATATAATAGGTAAAATATGAAAAATTATATATAAATTTTATAAAATAACAAGTATTGTGATTCAATTATTTATAGGAAGAAATGGCATATAAAATGGAATGGAGTGGTATCAAATACAAACAAAAGTATGCTTATAGAAAGTGGACTAGCAGCCAGTCTTTTTTCTCATTCAATAATGGAGCTACAACATTTTCCCCTCTTTCTTGCCCCTTTTCTCACCATATTGCTTCTCATTTTCACTGTGAAGTTATTATTCAAGAAAATACTAGCAAAAAAACCAACTCTAAACTTGCCTCCAGGTCCATGGAAATTGCCTTTCATAGGAAGCATTCACCATTTAATTGCAAGCCAATTACCTCACCATACCCTTAGAGACTTGGCCAAAAAACATGGCCCCTTAATGCACTTGCACCTCGGTGAGATCCCTACGATTGTTATTTCGAGTCCTCGTGTAGCCCAAGAGGTATTAAAAACTCATGATATAGCATTCACAAATCGTCCTGAGCTTTTAAGTGTCAAGGTTTTGACATACAACTGTTCAGACATTGCGTTTGCACCTTATGGAAATTACTGGAGACAAATGCGAAAACTATGCACGTTGGAACTATTGAGTGCAAAGAATGTTGTATCATTTGCCTCTATTAGGGAGGAAGAAGCATTCAATCTTGTTCAAGACGTTGAATCAAAATCTGGATCAATTATTAATCTTACAGAAAAGATATATGCTCTCACAAATGCAGTAATTTGTAGAGCAGCTTTTGGGAAGAGGAGAAAAGAAGAATCAGCATATTTCATGTCTTTGATTAAGGAATTATCATTAATGATAACAGGTTTGGACCTTTTCTTCTCTGTCCCAATTTATGTGAGACATTTTCTTTTTTAATCCGTGCCCATTTATGTGCCTGCCTTCTATCGGTATACAACAGTTGAAAAAATAGTAATTGCATTTCCCCCCAAATATTTATTATAGGTTTGGACATAAGTGAGGTGTTTCCTTCACTCAAGTTTCTGCAAGTCATTACTGGGACTAAAGAAAAATTATTGAAGCTTCACAAAAAGTTTGATAATGTGCTTGACATGATAATAGAGGAGCACAAGCAGAAGCTGCAGCAAAAGTATGAGTCATCAAGAAAAAACAATTTGGTTAATTTGCTATTAAAGCTCCAAGAAAGTGGCACTCTTGATTTTTCCTTCACTACAGATAATATCAAAGCAGTCATACTGGTGACATATTTCTTCGAATTTCTTAATACATATTCACGTGAACTCATAAATTACAATAGATCCGTCTCTAGTAGTAATTATAAATGCATATATATGCAGGACATGTTTTTAGCAGGAACTGAAACTTCAGCAACCGTTCTTGATTGGGCAATGGTTGAAATGATGAGAAATCCCAAAGTTATGGAAAAGGCACAAACAGAATTGAAAAGAATCCTCAAAGGAAAAAACAGAGTAACAGAGAGTGATTTGAAAGAAGTTAGCTACCTAAAATTAGTAATTAAGGAAACTCTGAGGTTACATCCACCACTTCCTTTGTTACTTCCAAGAGAATGCAGGGAGCAATGTGTAATTAATGGATATGACATGACATACCTATTAAAACTAAAGTAATAGTGAATGCTTGGGCAATTAACAGAGATGCTGAATTTTGGGAAAATGCTGAAAGTTTTTCACCAGAGAGGTTCATAAATTGTGGTAATAATTTGGAATTTATCGGACAGAATTTTGAGTATTTACCATTTGGCGGAGGAAGAAGAATGTGCCCTGGAATTTCATTTGGTTTATCAAATGTTGAGCTTCCATTAGCTCAACTTATTTACCATTTCAACTGGAAGCTGCCTAATGGGATGAAGCCTGAAGATGTTGATGTTACTGAAACTCCTGGTTCTAGCTGTAGTAGAAAATATAATTTGTGTGTTATTGCTACCTCTAATGATCATGGAGTATGATGATAATTACAAGTGTAATTGTGGTTGTTTTACTTTGCTGAGAATAATGTATGCTCTGTATATCTTTGTGTTGTATTTGTGTTTCTAACTATGAATCCCTATACTATGCTTTTATTTAGAAAATTTTGTTATTTATCAGACTATGATGCAGTAATTGTTGGGGGAAAAGCGTAATCGGTAATCGGCATACAATACTTTGCTAGTTGAAGTGCTCAAAAAGGGGATCCGACTCTCAAATTTTTATTAGGTAAAAATTAATAGCTAAAATTTAGTTGATTAAAATAAAATAATAATGATTTAGATAATTTATATTTCATAAAAAAAGGTAGCAATACCATGATTATAACAATATATTATTTTCTCATAAATATATTATGAACACTTCTCTCTTTTCTATTTTGTTTTCTGTTTGTTTTTTAATTGAGTTTGTCTTAGATTGCAATTTTGAACTTTCTCTTTAAAATGAGTTTATCACATATAACAAATAGCAAAAATACTTGTATGGAGAACAAAAAAAGAAAAATAGCAAATATTTTAGATAAAAAGGTCTGAAAAATACTTCAATTTTGATCGAAATTGTTGTTACGATACCAAACTTTATGGAGGACCTTTTACCCCTGCACTATTTAATAGCGTAATTTAAAGGCATATATGTGCCCACGTGAACACGTTACTATTTATAATGATGCAATATTTATGATGTCCACGTGGGCACATATATACCTTTAAAATACACTATTAAATAGTGCATGGGGTAAAAGGTCATTTCCAAAGTTCGGTATCGTTATAACAATTTTGATCAAAGTTTGGATATAATTTAGACCTTTTCCTAATATATAAATTTCATTTTTAAAAATTTGAAGATTTCATGAGTAAATTCTTAATCAAATTTAAATTGTTTGACTCTCGAAAAACAAGGGAGTACTTCATTGTGCTATTTTATTAACCCAATCGAAATGCGTTTAGTGTAATCAAATCGTCTATGAGTATACGGATTCGGCTCCTCTCCATTTCTCTTCTCTCCATTTTCTCCAATTGCCTATTTGGATTAATGACACATGCATAGGTTAAAATGAATGACTAAGATTTAATTTTTCTAAGTAAATCTCTAACCATGATTCAACTAATAAATATATTATATTTTTAATTTTAAAAATTACTATAACTCCCACAATCTTAACAACATATTATCTTGTTCATAATTTAGGGGAAAAAAGTTTTCTTCCTAATTTTTTTTACTTAGGATGTTAATTTAATTTTATTTTTAAGTTAATATTTTTATTGCATTTTTTCCATGAATTTTTCTTTTTAACCATTAGCTATTGAAGAGTATTATTTTTCCTATTTTATTTCACTTTTTTTTTTTTCTATTTCCTCCAAAATTAACATTAGCTATATTTGGCAGCAGTTCAATATTTAAAAGAAAATTAAAAAGAATCCCACGTAAAAAAAAAAGAAATTAGGAAGAATCTTTTTTTCCCTATATTTATGGACAAGATAATATGTTGCTAAGATTGTGAGATTATAATAATTTTTAATACTAAATATATATTGTATTTATTAGTTAAATTTTGGTTAGAAATTTACTTTGGGAAATTAAATCTTAGCCATTCTATGTCATGTGTCATTAATCCAAATAGGAACTTGGGGAAAATTGAAAGAAGAGAAATGGAGAGGAGCCGATCCTGAATATACTACCTCTGTCTATTTTTATTTGTCATGTTGCACTTTTCGAAAGTCAATTTGACTAATTTTCAAAGTTAAATTAGATATCATTATTTCGATATTTTAAACAAAAAATTTAGATATTCAAAAATTATACGAAAAGTATTATAAATTGCAATTTTTTGCATATCAATATAATGAAAAAATAGATAGTAAAATGTTAGTGAAAATTCTTATAATTTGACTCTAAAAATGAAAACCATGACAATTAAAAGTTGATGGAGTGCGTATATAATTTTATTCTGTCACCACTAAAAATAATATCTCAAATATTTACTTAACTATGAACTCATTTCTTATGTCACTTAACCTTAATTTTTAACTCAAAAAACTATCAACTTCACTTTTTAGCTCAAAATCTGTTTTATTTACAAAGTCACTCCATTTATTTGATTAATTTTTTAATTTTAAATTAAACCATTTAATAAACCCCCCTCCGCCCACCCCATTTGACCCTGATAGAAGAGTTTTAGATATTAATCTACTCGTCACTATCATCCATGTGAATCTTGATTCTAACACAAATGAGCCAAAAAAAATATATATATGTTTTAAGGCCGTAACTTTCAGTATATAATGATTTAAAATTTATAATATGGGGTGGGTTCACATACAGATATTTTATCATCGAAATCAACTTGAAAGAAAAATGTGTGTTCAATAAATCATCCAAGAAACAAATAAAAATATGCTTACAAGATTAAAAGGAGGAGCAGCAACGAATCCATTTTCTCATTCAATAATTGAGCTACAACATTATTTCCTTTCTCTCACCATATTGCTTCTCATTTTCACTCTTTAAGTTATTATCCAAGCAAAAAAAAAAAACAACTCCAAACTTACCTCCAGGCAAATTGCCTTTCATAGGAAGCATTCACCATTTAATTGCAAGACAAGTTAAGTTAAAGAAATCGTTTTCTTCTTGTCCTAATCATATGACCAATTTTTCATATTAAAGTCAAATCAGTTGCCTTTCACATATTTATGAGACGGTTCACGACTTTTCCTTTTGTTAGGACCCCTCTGTATAACGTTATATACTTTCAATAATAATTAATTGGGACACGAAGTTACGTTGCAGATGCCACCCATTACTGATAGTTGGCGTTGTGGTAAGAAGTACGTACGATGATGCTTGTGATTAATTTCACAAACAAATGTGTCTGTTCAAGCCCTCAAACAACTATTTTCTAATAACAAGGAAATGCAGGCATGCATGCATTTTAGATGAACCATTCTCCACAGATCGCTATATGTTTAAATCAACTAATCACCATTAGTCCAAGAATGCAGATTCCGTACTGGACGATTTGTTTACTCAAAATCAAATTGAAATACTAACATGTGTAAATGGAATATAATGAGTCTGAGTCACCGTGTTGATTTTATTAGCTGGCAGGGCCAGGGTGTCACCAAAAAAACTGAAAGTATAAGCTTATTTACTCATGTTTGTGTCTGTTACGCAAATCTCGACTCCATGTTGACTCTCATTTACTCATGTTTGTGTCTGTTACATAACAGATTGTAACTCTCCTGGAAATGGTTGAGTGTTTCACCCTACATATCTTATCTCATGATTTCGGAGCTAGGCGGGCCTGTTAGTGTCACAGATTTAAAATATCCTGAATTCATGTACTCTGCAAATGTGGTTACTCTTTCGGTCGTTGTTAGAAAGGCATGTCTATGTACTATATATTATTGATGTAACAACTGATCTGCCTTATTTTGTACTTATCATTCTCTGATTCGTTCACGCGTCTAATTCTGTTTTTTACCTCCAAATTAATACATCACAGTCTCTTAAATAGCAAAATTTTCTAAATGAAAGAATAGAAAACAAACACTCTGTTATCAATACAATGACATACAGAGCATACATTACTCTCAACAAAAGAAAAACAACCACGATTACACTTGTAATTACTCTCACCATTTTCCCAAAATTCAGCATCTCTATTAATTGCCCAAGCATTCACTATTACTTTAGTTTTAATAGGTATGTCATGTCATATCCATTAATTACACATTGCTCCCTGCATTCTCTTGGAAGTAACAAAGGAAGTGGTGGATGTAACCACAAGGTTTCTTTAATTACTAATTTTAGGTAGCTAACTGTTGGGTTTTAAATGGTGTGAATAGAAAATGAAGAGTTGCGACTTTTATAAAGAGTTGTGACTTTTATGAAAAGCTGCTACTTTTATGAAAATTTGTGACTTTTATGAAAGGTTGTGACCTTTCCGAAAGATTGTGACTTTTCCTAAGGTTTGTGGCCTTTCCGATAAGGCACAATAAGAACATTTTCACGCTACCCTTTGTTTTCTATAAATTGATGGACCCTTTGTTTTCTATAAATTGATGGATTTCCTCTCATTTTAGTTGAACGAATTTTTCTGGACTTCTTCTACTACTACTAAAGTATTCTAAGTGTACTTTACTGCCGTTGAGTGGTTCGCTGACACCGTGGTTTTAGGTACCGATACATCGGTGAGCAAGATCGTTTTATCTTGGGAGGATATAATTCATTAACCTCGGGTACTTGAGGAGAATAATTTCCTTAACGGGACACTTTGCATTGGTGAACAAAGGAATTTACTACGGAACAGTAAAGAAATATAAGAACATGACTGTCGACAACTTGAAAAAGAAAAAAGGAGTTCAACCGTTCCCTAAATATGGAGTCAATGACTTTGAAGGGCCATTATTAAGTCAAGCAACCAAAACCGAGCAAAGAAGTCACAACTGAGCTAATTATAACTAATGAAAAAGGATTTCAGGTGACACGAAAGTTGTGCTCGACGCTCTCTTTCCTATTCCGCTGCGCTAAGTGGTCTTTCCCCCAAAAAAATAGAAGAATTTCCCTTGCTTTCTTTTTGCTCCGCTCGTGCGTGGCACTCCTTGCTCACGGAGCGGCATACTGAAAAAAAGAAAAGCCTCCTTATGGCGACTGCATTCAGTGGGATCGATTTTCTTCCTTTGAGAAAAATATTTTTATATTGTTTCTAATCTTTTTCTGATTCTATTTTCTCTACTAGTTTTAATTTTCTAGTTTGAAAATACTCTTTAAACTTTGTTGTTTCTTACCAAGTTCTTCAAAGTTTTGTTCTAAGTATCTTAGGAATACAAGATGAACAATAATCTTAAGGAAATTACTATATTGTTGGTATTTCTTGTATTCTACTGATTGAGAAAAAGAGATCATGGAAGTAGGGGCGGACCCACGTGGAGATGCGGGGTTCACTCGTCGAAAAATTACACTGTATATAGAAGGTCTATTT